TCCCCAGATGATATTTTCTGTTGTGAATAACTGGTTGGTAACTTCCTCTGTTTTTATTTTCCTTTCTGTCTCACAGCTTCTCAGAAAGGAAGGGTGATGCGGCGTCTATGGCCCCAGGAAGCACTGCAAGTCGTGGTATGTTAATTCCATGGCAAATCCATTCCCCACAAGTGCCATATAGGGCTGGGGGTGGGGAGCAGTCCCGCCTCACCCCAGCCCCAAATAATTGGGGAGGGCCCAGGAGACCCTGCTGCCCTAGAGTGGATGCTTATGCCAGGAAAATACAATGTCCTTCGTCTCTCCCAGGGCCATGGTTTGGGAGGAAAGATGAAGGATCCGGCCCACCACCACCAGCAGCAGCCCAGCGGTGCAAGAGCGAAACTCCGAATGTGCAGGTATGGTGTGACACGTCTTTGATTTTACCAACCAGCAATATTAATAATCCAATTTTATTACGCAAAACCAAGAATATCTATGGTGATGCGTTGTTGCAGGGGCCGAGGGCCGGTGCCTGCTCTGCCCATTGGGCAATCTGGCTCTGCTTGGAGATGCATCCCAGAATTCTCCCCACCCCATACGTCCTTCCTTCCTTCAGACAGAAGCGGACATGGTGTGTGGAACTGGACCAGGGGAAGAAGTGGCTCTCCCATTGCTGGGGATTGCCATTTCCTCATGCCAGCAATGGGACAGCCAGCAGGAGGCCTGGTTTAGATAGTCCTGTCGTTTTACAGGAAGTGTTTCTTTGTGGTCCACTTCTCTTCCCCCCGTCTATTGCCTTGGGGAACAGCCCCCCACCCCCCGGAACCGACTCCATGACTATGGCTTCAGAACTGCATGAATCTATACCTAAATATTCTGGGAAATAGATAGTTCTCCATGTTTGGGCTTCAGTTTAGGCATACAGTTGGCAGAAATATATTGCATTTCAGGTTCTTTCTTTGCCTTCTTAGCCCATATTTCTCCTAATTTCTCCAGGGATGAGGCTTCAGATCCGGCTCCCGGGACGAAGAGCAAGATACCATCCCGGCGGTTCCCGGCTGAGGACCCTCGCGCTGGTTCCCCACTGCCCCGTCTCTGTGCGGGCATGGCTCCTCCCCGGCCCTGCCTGCCGCAGAAGCAGCAGACAAGGTTTCCTCCAATTCGAAGAACATCTCGAGTAATTTTAGAGAGGGAGGAAACCTTGCCTGCTGCTTCTGAGCTAGGCCGGCCGGGGCGGAGCCAAGATGCCCATACAGAGGCGGAGGCCAGGTTTGGGGAACTCGTAAGATCAGGTAGGAGGAAATGCCCCCTTCCCAGGTCCCCACCCTCCTGCCCCAGACTGGGGCTAGCATGGCTGGGAGCGCCGGCTGATGTCTCCTTTGCTTTGCAGCAAGGGAACAACTCAGCCTCGGAGCCGCCGGATCCCGGGAGGGACTGAAGCCCAGGCGGAGGATACCTGCCTCGGAGGTAATGGGACAGGGGGATGGAGGGGGAAGGAGATAATGGGACAGGGGGAAGCAGCCCTTAGCGTGAGTTCTCCCCTGCTTTAAATATCCCTTCTTTCTTGCAGGATCTCCCCCCTGCACCGCTGTGGCTGCTGCCCAAGCCTCGCCCCAGAAGAAGACCATTGTAGGAAAGAGGTACCTCTGGAACGCCCTCTAGTGACGTACCAGCAGCTCCCCAACCCACAGTGAGAGGGACCTGTTCCTTTCATTACCTGGGGCAGGGATGGCCTACTATAGGCCAAGACATGCGTTGGCACCAAGGCCTGCAGAACCCCCTTCCGGACTTTGCAAGGACCATGACCCTGACTTCGCCTCTACAGGCTCATCAGGCTCTATAGCCTCGCCCTCTCCTCCATTAAGTCGTCTAATCCTCTTCCAGCGTCAATGGAGAATGGGAGAAGAACCTTCCTGCATGAGAGCAGAAAGGAGATGCTCTCGTCCAGAAGTGGGTGGGCCAAGCTTTCTTGGGGAGCAATGTCAGGGCAGGGGCATTGGGCATCCATTCCCCACGTCTGCCAGGAGGATCCCAAGTCCTCCTTCCTCCACAGGGCCACACTTCAAGAGATGGTTGTCCGTTGCCACTTCCCAAGCTGAAGGACAAGAGCGAAACTTCGTCACCCATGGCGTTCCAGCCCGGCCTTTCTGGATTGTAAAGTCCTTCCAAGTCGCTGGAGGAATCCATGCTGCTCGGTGCCTTGCATGTCTCCAGGGATGCCACGCATGATGTCTGAATGTGCCAGTCCCTGACGAGGAGAATGGCATCACTGGCATTCTTTCAATAAAGAAATTGGAGGAAATTGTTGCTTCCGATATGCCGAGGATCAAATAATATTTATTAATAAATATTGTTAAAATGAAAAAATAATGAGCAGTTTTCTTTCCTTCTCTGCCTTCTCTGACTGCTGCTGGGAGCTCTGCTTAAGAAGGCTGAAGCCAATTCTCAAAAGCTCCTTTGTGTCCTTGAAGCTGCAGGTGAAGTCTCTCCACCATCTCCCCCTTCAGGCTGCTGTTCAGCAGGTGAAGCTGATTCCTGACCCATGACACTATTCGCTGCCCCAAGGAGCCCCTACTCCTGCCAGTTGGGTGCCAACTTTCGGGGAGCAAGACGGGGGAAGTATTGGACCAACCGGGGGGGAGGGGAGGCATGGACATGCGAGGCATCTTCCCATGAGGAATTCCTATGAAGTCCATGTCCATGAAATTGGCCGTAGCCCACAATTTCTTTCTATTATAGCCCAGGTCTGTAAGACTGGTTTCTCTGGAGGTGTTACAGTAGGTGGTGGACACAACCAGGTCCTTGGGGAGGTTTGTGTGAGGCATCTGGAAATTAGCAAGGCTAGCCAAGCCCTGGCTCCGTTGCCCACCAAAATCGAGGAAATTCTGTTTCTGGGCAGATTGCCAAAGCCCCAACATTCACTCTCCCTTTCCAAGTTGCTTGGGAAGACGGGAATCAGGCATAGCCCAGGTCTGTAAGCTGCTTCCCAGGCGCTTGGAGGCGGCTCACCTAAATTGAGGGAATTTTGTTTCTGGGCAGCTGGCAGAGCCCCTATTCACTGGGCATGGGACTGCCGCATGCCCCAGCCTCACAGACCCTCTTCATCTCTGTTCCTTTTGGGCCACCTTCAAACGAGGGCGATGGCGGCTGGACTTGTGATCCTAATCTGAAGAGCTGCCCAGCCCAGCTTCAGGTTCTTCACCAAGTGCCCCCTTCTAGAACCCACCGCTCTCAACCGACTCTCAACTGCCTCCCCCCCCCAACATTCACTCTCCCTTTCCAAGCCTCCTCCAATCTTCTCTCTCCACCAGAATTCCTCTCTCTCTCTTCCCCCCCTCCCTCCCTGCTTGACATTCCCTTGGGAATTCTAATAGCACCACCTTAATTGCACACAGTATTGTTATAGATTATGGGGGGATCCCACCAAAAACTAGAAATTAATAGATGGTAGGATTTGGGATTATTTGGGCTGTGAAGGGAGAAATACAAGCTACAGAGGAATTCCTGGGCTAGCCTATGCAAAAGGACCTGGCCAAGCAAAGGCCTTTAAGAAACAATTCAAGGCCTTGGAAAGCCTAACTGGAAATGCCAGAGAACTCTGTCTTGGTGTGAGGTGGCAGAAGAAGGAGGAGGAGGAGGGAGGGGGGCCACCAGGTGGTGCGTTGGAAGATGGCCGACAATAACATCTCTCTGACCCATACGAGGTACAAAGGGGCTGCTATGGGAAGTATGCAGCCTTCCTAAGCTCCCCCGCTCCTGGGCTCCCGCTGCTTGCGGAGAGTTGCCGGCATGCCGAAGCCTGCGCGCGCTGAAATCAGCGCGTCCAGGCTTCGCGGACCTCTCTGCAAGCAGCGGGAGCCAGCGCTGGGCTCCCACGGCTTGCAGAGAGCTGCCTGTTTGGGGGCTGGGGTCGGGGGAAGCTCGAGCTTCCCCCGCCCCAGCCCCGTGCCTGGGGGGGAAATAATTTTTTCCTCTTTATTTCCCCCCCAAAAAACTGGGTGCGCCCTATGGTGCGAAAAATACGGTATGTCATCTTGAGCTCCTTGGAGAAAAAGATGGGATATCAATTCATACGCCCCCAGAAGGTGGTGGACTCTCCTTCTTTGGAGGTTTCTTATATACAGAGGTTTCTGCTGTAGACTGCCTCCTGTGATGTATGGATGATGATTTTGGGGTGGTCTTTGGCTAAGGGGCTGGGCAATGTCAAAAGTCTTTCAAGGTTCCTGCACACTTTGGTTCAGGGTCTCTCACTCCTTGGAAGGAGGGGAGGGAACTCTGTTGCAGCAGAAAAATAAAGATCTGCCTTGCTTTCCACTGGATCCTTCCTCCATCCATTATTCTCTGACTGATCATGGACTTAAGGGAATCAGAGTCCCATGGGGAGTTGGGGAGCAAAAGCCAAACCCCAATTTTTACATCATACTGAAGTCAGAAGGCTGACTAATATGCCCACAAGGTTTCGGTGGCAACAATAGTAGTTTTTTGTTGTTGTTTTTGCAATAATTTAAGAATAAAATTGTGTACCACACAACTACCGTATTTTTCGCTCTATAAGATGCACCCAACCGTAAGACACACCTAGTTTTTAGAGGTGCTATGATGCTCATGTACGGCTTGTGGGCTTCCCACAGGCATCAAGCTGGCCACTGTCTCTGCGCAGCCCCTCCTGTGAAGCGCCATTCGCTCCATAAGACGCACTCACGTATCTCACATATTTACTTTTTAGGAGGAAAAGGGTGCGTCTTATGGAGTGAAAAATATGGTAGGTTGTTGTATTGCTTGCTGGCTGGTGGCTGCTTAAGCAGCTGGAAACGATAAATAATAATGATGTCAGAAAAAACATAACTGTGGACCTGACAGCCTATGATAATACAGTACTGGACTGTGTGCAGTGTATTCACAACACACACAAACACAACACAGTGCTAACACAGGCAGACAAGGAATACTGAACACAGCTGTAAAAAAACAACTCACAAACTTTACCTAAACACTAAAAGCCAAAGGAGTTTTCTGTATCATTTAGGCCACATATTTATTTATTTAAATATATTTAAAAGCATTTATAAACTTTTTTTTTTTAATCTCCAAGTAGTGCGCAACATAGAAACAAGTTCATTAAAGCAAAAATACAACACTATAAACACTTACGTATCCCTGATATTTGCAGTTTTTTGTACTAGTAGTGTAAGATTAAGCACACTTAGGTGGAATTAAGCCCTATAGAAATAAATAGGACTCCTTTTCTAAGTAATTATATTATATAGACAGCTTGGAACTATAGCTGACCACAGGAAGAGCTCAGTATCAGTAAATATAATCCATTTGCCCCAATAGTTTCTACCAGATTATTGCATAAATATGAAGATAAACCCTCAGTCTCTAATTGATATGAAGCCAATCTGTGTTCCAAAGTTCTCACCATCACGGACATGAGAATAGAATTTATCAGGGCAACATGATGTACAGACAGTTACATTTTGGTTCTGGTCTGTTACAGAGTCATCCTGGATGTTCTGAGGCAGAACCCCTCCAGTCTCCAGAAGAATACTAATAAAGAAAGAAAAAGGGATGATGGATTATTAAATTGACAGTTATTAGAGGGTAGTTATTATATATACACAAGATATTACTTCCAATATCTTAGGGTTAAAATCTTTTCAGATGGCACTAAGCCCCAAGACCTTATTCCACCTATCATAAGGCAACATGTAACCTCAAACATATAATATGGGAGCGTATACAGTGGTGGCCTATGGCTTCTTCCAAAAACACCCTCAAATGTAGCAAAGGGGTGCAATGCTCCTGACTGCCAGAGAGGCCGAGATTTAAGGCTGACCACCAATCATGGCTCAGCCAGGAGAGCCTGACTCTTAACCTCAGGATCGTGGGTTTGAGCCCCACTTTGGTTGAAAGATTCCTGCATTGCAGGGGGCTGGATTGTCCTTGTGGTCCCTCCCAGCTCCACAATCCTATGATGCTAAAGGAAGAGTGAAGAGCCTAAGCTCTGCCACAAGCTCCATAGCGGCGGCAGCACCCCTTCTGCTCTGCTTTCGTTGGGACTCCTAAGCGGTGGACATACTATCAAAGGCTCATTGGCATGGATAGCCAAGGCCATCACTACCAACAACGCTCTTTGGAAAAGAGGACAGTGGATGGGAAAGGCCTCCTTAGAGGACAGTGCATTAAACTGGGTGCAGATAGTACAGATACAGTGGTGCCTCGCAAGACGAAAAGAATCCGTTCCGCGAGTCTCTTCGTCTTGCGTTTTTTCCGTCTTGCGAAGCAAGCCCATTAGCGGCTTAGCGGATTAGCACTATTAGCGGCTTAGCGGGCTTAGCGGATCAGCTGATAAGCGGCTTAGCGGCTTAGCGGATCAGCTGATAAGCGGCTTAGCGATCAGCTGTTAAGCGGCTTAGCGGCTTAGCGGATCAGCTGTTAAGCGGCTTAGCGGATCAGCTGATAAGCGGCTTAGCGGTTTGGGGAAAAGGGGGGGGGAGGAAAAAAAACCTGCAGGAACTCGCAAGACATTTTCGTCTTGCGAAGCAAGCTCATAGGAAATTCGTTTTGCGAAGCACCTCCAAAACGGAAAACCCTTTCGTCTAGCGGGTTTTCCGTTTTGCGAGGCATTCGTCTTGCGGGGCACCACTGTAGTCAGAATTGGCCCTTGGGTGTACAACTGATTAAAACTGTGGTGCCGGATTCAGCCAAGGAAAGCAGAAGGCTGCTTCTCCGGGGAAAGGGATTGGGAGGGAGACGAAGAGCCCCACCCTCTTCTTCTTCTTCTGTAATGGGATCCATTAACCAAAAGGGAGCAAAACACACAGAGTGAATTTTTCACGGCCCCACATTTGTGATGTGCCAAACACCAAGAACTCTCCCAATTAAGAATAAGCAGAACCAAGCTCACCGTGTAGCTCTTCTGAGGTCAACGTACGGGGTTGACGATTCATAAAGTCTTACGCACTTGGGATCAATCCTAAGAAAACTTTTTGCCGATTCCCGAGGCAGTTTAAAGCAACAGGGCCCAACCGACGGCCCCAGGACCACAAGGATATCCTTCACGTCGCAACCGTATTCAGTTACCATCGCGTTAACGACAGCCATCGATACTCCTAACAACGTGCCTTGCCAACCTTAGAAGCAAGGAAAGAAAAGGAAATCTTGCAGCTTTTAAAACTGAAAAGCAAAAGAAAACCCAACCTACAAAAGTTGCATTCAATGTATGTGAACTTTTAAATAGGTGTAAGCATGCAAAATAGGGCGTGGAAATATGGGGTGATGGGTCAAAGCAGGCATGACGGAAGCAACAGTATTTGTTCTTTAAGGGTCTCTGCCACATTTATATATGATGAAGCCAGAAACTAGCAGCGATCAACAGAATAGATAGCTAGCCACTATGGTCTGCATTGCTGACAAACATCTAAAGAAGCAGGTAAGTTTTGGCACTTTGAAGTCAGTGTTTTTTTATTCACACAGCATTCCCAGTTGCGCCTCAGCTGTGTCATATCTATGGGAAACTGCCAAGAATAGACCCACATCCCATGTCATTCTGGCCTCCTTTGGGAGAAAGGGTGCAATATAAATTCAACCAATAAAATAACTATATTTTGATTCTTCAGTTGAACTGGTTAAAGATATGACCTAAACATTAGGAAGAACTTCCTGACAGTAAGAGCTGTTTGACAGTGGAATTTGCTGCCAAGGAGTGTGGTGGAGTCTCCTTCTTTGGAGGTCTTTAAGCAGAGGCTTGACAACCATATGTCAGGAGTGCTCTGATGGTGTTTCCTGCTTGGCAGGGGGTTGGACTCGATGGCCCTTGTGGTCTATTCCAACTCTATGATTCTATGACACAATCCAGCGATAAATAATTTTTAAATCCCAGAAAAGTCAAAGGGCCTTATCTTTGGCTGCATCCGTCCATTAGAAAATACCATTACAGTGGACGCTCGGGTTGCGAACGTGATCCGTGCGGGAAGCATGTCCGCAGCCCGCAGCGCCGCATCTGTGCACACACGGGTCACGATTCGGCACTTCTGCGCATGCGCAAAGCACGATTTAGCACTTCTGCGCATGCACCGAAACCCGGAAGTAACCAATTCCAGTACTTCCGGGTTTGGCGCAGTGTGCAACCCGAAATCACACAACCCAAAGCATCTGTAACCCGAGGTATGACTGTATAAACGTTATGCTATAAATAGAGATTCAGGATTAAATGGTGAACTGAAAACAAAAAGGTACCGGCTCAAGGATAGCCATACCTGTATTTACCGTATTTTTCGCTCTGTAAGACGCACATTTTCCCCTCCAAAAATTAAGGGGAAATGTGTGTGCATCTTATGGAGCAAATGTAGGCTCCTTGGCTTCAGCGATAGCAACGCGAAGCCTCCGAAGCGCAGTGGGAGCGCTCCCGCCACGCTCCGAGGCTTCGTATTGCTTTTGCTGAAGCCTGGAGAGCGAGAGGGGTCAGTGTACACCGACCCCTCTCGCTCTCTAGGCTTCAAGGATAGCCACCTGAGGCTTTGGGTTCCTTTCGCTGAAGGGTAGGTGCCCCTTCAGCTAAGGCGCAGCGCCCCTTCAGCTAAGCGGGAGGAGAAATGGAAGGGGCTCCGTTTCTCCTGCCGCTCCGCTGAAGGGGCGCTGCGCAGAGAGGGGGAGATTTTTTTTCCTTGTTCTCCCCCTCTAAAACAAGGTGCGTCCTATGGTCGGGTGCGTCCTATAGAGCGAAAAATACAGTATATGGAATGAAGGGTGGGGTGGGGACTGACAGGAAAATTCAGAGCAAGAAAGCACACCCAGGGCAGGGCCAGAGTAGAAACAGAGAAATGCATAAAAGGAATGACGGTTGTCCAGTCGTGTTACCTGAATGAGCAGCACCACATGCTTTCTTGACGGGATCAGCGAAAAGCACAGGGATGCAGTCTGCTCCAGGGGCAGCGAGTGTAACACCTTTCTGGTTAGTTACTATCCCATCGTAGTTATCCGGCTCGGCCTTTCCCATGACCCAAACATCACTGGCGTGGTTGACCTGTTAACACCAAGAGAAGGCAAGGCAATCTGAAAAACTGAAGTTAGGAGTGCTCTTTTGCTCCAGTATTTCCCAAGGCAACACTTCTGCCTAGCAATAGTGAGCAAGTCAAAGTGACACAATTGACTTCCGCAGCCTCGAATGGTCTGCAGCCGGGATATTTCAAGGACTGCTTACTGCCTATTCTTCAGAAGTCCTTCAGTGTTGAACCAACACCATCTCAGGTATGGTGGGGTGCACAAGGGTGGGGGGACGTGGTGTCAATACTTTGAAATTCCTTTCCTGACGTCTACTCATTAAATTTTCACAGGTCTGTCACGTCCTTTTTCTTTATGGAAGCGATGAAATACGGTAGACGTCTAAATAAGACTCTTGGACGAACGGAAAAACCCACACAGGACTACAAATTTGTTTCAACCCGCTTGTGGAAACTATCAGAGGTCACAAAGACAAAGAGAAAGGAAAAATATATGAAAACAATAAGAGGAGATGGAAAACAACAAGAAAGGATTGGATAGAATTGTGAACATTATTTGGACAGATTTGTGGACATTAAAGCAGCAGCAACAAGAGGATTGGATCCCCTTCGGAACTTGAAATGTGGGTACCCCCAACAAAAATTTAAAATTCGGCTTTGTAATTTGGAATTTCTGTGATTTGATTTGATTGGTCTGTTAATAAAAATTATTTTTAAAAAAATTCCTTTCCTGAGAAAGCTTCTCCGCTTTCGATTTTAATCAATAAATTAACCCTTTATGTGGCAGCCAGCCATTTATTTTCTAAACCCATTTAGTTCTGCTCAGTGGCATCCTAGGCAGAAGGACGTTTCAACACAAGGACTGCTGTCACCGAGGCAGGATGATGAGTTCTCAGATCTTTTAAAGGCTTTGTCAAAGAGGAGGCAGAAGGAGAAATCCTTACCAGGCAAGAAGCAGTCTAAGGCATTATCGTTTTTTCCCGTTTCACGTGAAGTCCAAAGTACCATTCTGCTTTATCAATGTTGTTACCATGATTACATTTGTGTTATTTTGTGTTAATTCTGTCAAATACCTGGAATAGCTCAGCTGGTAGAGCATGAGACTCTTAATCTCAGGGCTGTGGGTTTGAGCCCAACGTTGGACAAAAGATTCCAGCAATGCAGGGGGTTGGACTAGATGACCCCTAGTGTCCCTTCCAACTTGACAATTCTTTGATTCTAATACAAATGCTGTGAATGGCCTGCATCTGAGGGGCTGTGATGACCCTCTAAGTTGCATCCTGCAGGGATAAATGCTCCGCCCTGAAGAGAGACTGCTTCCCATCACTCATTTAGAACTCTAAGGGTTTGACAACCAGGAAAAAATTCTGGAAAAGGATTAAATCAGATGTTTGAGGCTCTGGGTGGAGATCTTAAAAAACCGTGTCATGGGTTGTTGTGACCCTGAATAGACTCCTGTGTCTTTTAAGAAAAGCATAAACAGAAGAAGTCACACTGAGTATTTCCCCTTAAAAGTCCTCCCCCAGTTCAGTTTTCTTTGCCTTACCTTTACCCTGTGATATGCATCAGGGTTGAATCCAGCAGCAGCAGCTAGCCTGCGAAGGTTTTCCTTAACCACAATGGGTGGGTCACGTCGTTGGAACTACTGAAGAGATTGAAAGAGCTCAACGTCGGTATATAGGAGATGCCGGCCCGTTCTTGTAGTGAATCCATGGAGGAAGATAGGATCTAGCGAAAAGAACAAGAAGTGGAGCCGAATGGCGATGTGGGAGGCGAAATTCATGCGTTATGCAGCCTAACAGCACCCAAAATTATGCTGTCACAGTAAACGGTGCAGTGCAAAGAAATCTCTCTACTGAGGTGTCTTGTTCTTATGATGGATTGGCAAAACAAATTCCTACCCACCAGGAAAATACCAGTTGT